AATCAGGGAGCCTGGAAGGGACTCTGCAGTGTTTTTAATGCCCTCAATGGGTGCCACAGACAGTGAGAGGGAACTCAGTCAGTTCCTTCCATATCCTGAGGAAAGATCAAACCCAAAGCTGGGTCTACCTGCTTTCAAGTGAGCTGGTGCTACCTCATATCATATTGTGCTGGCTATTTTATGTAAACTTAACCCAAGCTGTAGTCATTTGTAAGAGAGAGCCTCAATTGAAAAAAATTGCCTCCACCATATTGGCCTGTGAGAAAGCTTGTGCTATGTTTTCTTCATTGATTGATGAGTGCTCAGCTCACTGTGGGCAGTACCAGCCCAAACCTGGTGGTCCTGGGTGGTGTAAGAAAGAAGGCTGAGCAAGCCAATAAGCAGCACTCTATGGCCTCTGCATCAGTTCCTGCCTCCAGGTTCCCGCCCTAACTTTAACACTTTCCTACCCGAATTGCTTTTGGTCATGGGGTTTTATCATAGCAATAGAAACTCTTAACTAAGGCAGAAATTGGTACCAGAAGTACTGTGTTGCTGCAACAGATCTGAACCATGCATTTGGGGGAACATTGAGGAAGGACTTTAGAACTTTGGTCTAGAGAAGCCATTGGGTGCTTCGAGCTTAATGAGCTGTTGTCAGAATGTAGAATATAATGCTGAGAGCAGTGCAGATGATGGAGACTACCTTAAAACTTTTAGAGGGAAGTAAAAACTCTACCAGGGCCATTGATTGGATATTTTGAATTAAGAACCACTTGGGCTGGAGAGATGGCCATGTGGTTAAGAGGCTGGGCTGTTCTTACAAAGGACCCAGGTTCAATTCCCAGCACCCACATGGCAGCGCACAACTGCCTGCAACTCCAGTTCCAGGGAGTCTGAGATCCTAACACAGACATACATGCAGGCAAAACACCGATGCACATAAAAATAAATAAAAGACCCTTAAAAAAAGAACCTCTAAAGTAAAGTCTTTGCTTTGCTGGAACAATAAATGCTGGTCAAGTGGAGGTGAGAAATTAGCAGTGATTAAGAAGAGACCAGCACTGGCACTGGTGGTACTCACCTTTAATCTCAGCACCAGAAAAGCTGAGGCAGGCAGATTTTGTGAGCTCAAACCTTGAACTGGTCTACAGAGTGAGTTCCAGAATAGCCTGGGCTACACAGAAAAACCCTGTCTCGAAAAACAAAAACAAAACAAAAAGAGTGTTTTTTACCCAGCTGTGGTGGCGCAAGCCTTTAATCCCAGTACTCAGGAGGCAGAGGCAAGGGGATCTCTGTGAGTTCGAGGCCAGCATGGTCTACAAAGTAAGTTCCAGGATGGCCAGGACTGTTACACAGAGAAACCCTGTCTCGATGGAGGGGGTGGGGGAAGATCAGCATCGTGGATGAAATCTTCCATATTTTATTAGGGTCAGCACAAAAAAGCTGTGTTCCAGAAGTGGCCAAGGTTGTATGGACCTCATGCTGGCAACCAAATCTGGTAGTGTAAGGGTCACCCAGTTGGTACTGGTTTTGAAGGCATGAAGGGGTCATGGAGAGTAGCTGAGGCTTGGAACTGTGTGGCAGGGCTGGAATCCCTGAAGAGAGGCCAGAAGAGGCCATTGGTGAAGGTGTAGCCTCAGTTGAAATAGAATGACGGGAATGGAAGGGACCGTGCAGAGAAACTAACACCATGTGCTGTGTTAGAGACCCTGAAGAGAGCCCAGAAGAAGCTACTGGTGAAAGTGTAGTGCAGTTGCAACATTTTGGAGACATCAATACCATGGAACAACTGTCAAGGACAGCAGCAGCCATAGCGTGGGGCTAGCCTGAACATAAGAAACAGCTTTGTGTGTGCTGCAGATTGTAGGCCCAAGAAGTGGAGCCCAGATGATTGTGAGCGGCACCCAGACATCAAGCACCCAGACATCAAGCACTGAGCTTTTTATGTTGTTGAACTTTGGTTTTCCTAAGATTTTATTTTAACTATGCCCTGGTTCTTCTCTCTTGGAATAAGAAGGTATTTAGCTTGTTTTTGGTTTGTACAGGAGCCCACAGTTGTGAGACCATGGATGCTTTAAAGAAACCTTGCAATGTTAGAGATGCTTTGGATATTTTAATGAAGCCAAGGTTTTGAATGTTCAAAATTTTAAGAACCATGGACAGCCATGACTACATAATAGAGAGACCCTGTCTCAAAAAATAATTTGTTTTATACTATCATAGTAACATGACATCTTGGGGCTAACAAGAAAAGAAAGGTCATGGTTTAATAGTGATCTGCTTGTGTGTCAATTTCACAAGGGATCAATTGTGCTAGTTACTTTTACATCAACTCAACACAATCTGGAGTCATTTGGAAAAAAGGACACCTCAGCTGAGACAATTTCCCTATCTGCTTGTCTGTGGGAAAGCCTGTGGTGTGTTTTGTTCATTGATGGTTGATGTAGGAGGGAACACTCACTGTGCCACCCCTGGGCTGGTCACTCTGGATGGTATAAGAAAGACTGGGAAAGCCATGCAAGCCAGTAAGCAGCACTCCTCCATGGCCCCTGCATTAGTTCCTGCCTCCAGTTTCCTGCTTTGAGTTCCTGTCCTGACTTCCTGGATGATGGACTACAAGTTGTGACATTAAATAAACCCTTTCCTCCCCAAGTTGCTTTTGGTCATGGTGTTTCATCACAGCCATAGAAAACATTGAGGCACTTGTGAGGTTTAGCTCCATGTACTGTAGCCCAATCTAACTCCTCTTACTTAGCATAGCATGCCTAAATATGAGATGTAGTCTGTGCCCTGGCAACTGGAGAGTGGGCTTCATCACTAAATTGCTTGCCATACAAGCATGAGGACATGACTTTAATGCCCAGCACCAATATACAAAAATCTTGTCACAGTGTCAGGAACAAGGACAGAATCTCTAGTTAGTGGAAAAATACAGACCCCCGATAAGACAGGGAACTAGATCAGCTTACAGTCAGGTTGCCTAGCAACAGGACATTGAGTCAGAGCCCTTGACCCTCTCACCCTGTAAACATCCTATACAAACATCCTGTTAGCTTGCCCCACCTTATGCAGAAGACAGCTTCTTGCTCCCCCCACCCTGCAGGAACTATATAAACCTTTCTGGAAGGAAATAAAGTGGCACCTTGATCAGAATCTAGACTTGGTGTGTTTTCCTTTGTATCTCCCGTCCCTACGTTCCCTCCTTAGGGTGGTCGAGAACCCGTTGTAGCCCTGCAGGCGGGGCATCACAGGAGCACATATCTGCAATCCCAAAGTTGGAGAGGCAGGCAGATTCCTGGAGCTCAGTGGCCAGGCAGCCTCACCTAGCCAAATCAGCGAGCTCCTGGTTTCCAGAGAGATCCTATCTCAAAAAGTAAGATAGAGAGTGACTCAGAAAGAAACCTGACATTGTCCTCTTATCTCCACACACATGCACATACATGCCCATGTCCACACATGTCCTGAAGGCCTGTTTTTACAAAATGTCAGAATGTGTTCTGTATATATATTTTTTGGCCCTCCAAGAAGAAGAATATGCTGTCTGCCAACTACTAGACATCACTGAGAAAGAAATGAAGTTAAAAACAAAGAAACAAAATGCCAGAGGATTTTGAACCGGTGAACAACGAAAAGAAAAGATAAGAGTGTCACTAGTGCCACCACTGCCGCTCCAAAGTCAAATATGGCTTGAGGTTTGGCTAGCTTCCCAGGGGCGCCAGCATCATGCTCTCCAAATTAACATGTTACTTTTAAGTAGCCCTATGGGAGAAGCACATTAGACACATCGGGATGACTCTTCCTGGAGCTTAGCTATTATTCATACGTATAGTTTTTAATGTGCAAAGGTCCAGAGAGACTAGGAGCATAGGTCACTTACTTAGCAGATGTGAGACCTTGAGATCAATGCCCACCAGTGCAAGAACAAGCAAACAAACAAACAAAAAACTCAAAGTCCCAAAGAAATAAGTATTCAAACCCCAAGAAAACAACACATGAAAATAGCCTGGCTAGGTGGAAGATACCTGTAATGGTAACACTTGGGAGATGAGTACAAAGATCACTAACGTTTGGGGCCAGTTACAAAGAGAAGAAACAAAATGGGAGATGTTTGGTATATCATGCAGAAAAGGGTAAATTGAGAAGTCACATCCAAGGTCTGGCTGATTCCAACCAAAGAGGACCGCCAAGGAGAGCACCTTACCCTCCTCATTTACAGGGAGTATATGAAGGTTTGCTCAGGAAAGACATGCTAGGCTGTTTTTATGGTCATGCTGACACCCTTTGCTTACATTCCACTTGGTAAGATGGTAACACTGTATACCAGTGGAATATTCTTTGTTGCAACACCATGTCCACAGGTGAAAGGCAGGTGTCCAATCCGGCAAAGCCACTCTGAAAGGTTCTAGGACAGTACTATGTCGGCCTTCCCCAGTGTTGCCCTTACCCAACAGCCCTGGAGTCCATTGGTGATAACGCTGGCCTCAGAGATAACTGCTGAGAAAGACTATCTTCTAGTTTTCCTTGGAGAGACAATGTCATTCAGAGGCACTTAAATAATCCACCTCCAAGGCCAAGTTATGTGTCACTTTTCAATTTCAAGCTCTACCTGAAAGAATGTGGGAACCAACAGAACTAGAAGAAGCCTTTCTATTAACAACAGCACATCTGTAGAGCTGTGCAGACCCCAGAGGTAATATGGGGCCCACCAGGCCAAAGATAGAGACCTAGCAATGCCTGTGTAGATCACTATTTTCACCCGCCTTGACTCTGTGACATGTGCAATGTAGCTACCCACTTCATCAATCTTCCATCCCACGTGTCTGTCCTGTGCAAACCCTCCCACACTCCCCTCAGGTGAGGAGGGTCAGGAGCCATCTTCTATTTCCAGAGTACTACTACTTAACCTCTAGTATCATTCTCCTCACACACACCGGAGTGGGAGCATCTTCCTGCAAGGATATAGTCTAAATCACCCCAAATTCCCCACCGGGTCCTGTACCTAAAGATGAGCAACTCACCTGGAGCTTCAAATATGCTTGCTTATTCAGTGCTTAAAAGATTGTGATTGGAGGTCCTTGGCCAATGGGAACAGCAGGTAGTTGTCAATTGCCATTATTTGTGCAGTAGAAATGGTTCAGGAAGGTGGAACAGATGATCAGATTCTTTCAGTGGTACTGAGAGAAGAATTACATCTTTTGTCCCATCCCTAATCCTGGAGCTCCTACTGAAAAGAAGATATAGGGGCTGGAGAGATGGCTCACAGGTTAAGAGCACTTGGTGCAGAGGACCCGAGTTCAGTTCCAAGCACTACATGGTGACTCACATCCATCTGTGTCTCCAGTTCTAGAGGATCTGATATCCTCTTATGGCCTCTGTGGGCACTACATACATGTGATGCACATACATATACTAGACATACTAACAAGCAAAACAGTCATACACATAAAAATAATTTTTAAAGAGGATACAAATTTCTATAGTACAAGTCAACTAATCTCTTATAGTCTGTCCAGCTCAGATCTGGCCTCACAGAGGAATTGCACCTATTGGTCACCAAATTGTCCATGTGCCCAGGGGCCAGTGCACATAGCCCCTCAAGCATGGTTCAATTGGAAGGCTGGTGAGCAAATTCAGGCTGACTAATTGAGCACTCAAATCTGTGGATACAATGCAGATGCCTCCTGGGACAATGGCAGGAAGACAGTTCCTCACCTGAATGAAGTACTAGCCCATAGCCCAAGCCTCCCAATTTGCTGACTACTCTTTCCATGTGTCCCTCTTTTGCCTGGCCCTTGCAGCCCTGCACAGACTTGCTGGCAGCATCTGTGACCCTCAGTTGTCCTTTTCTGTCAGGCTAACCAAGCAGAAGCATCTCTACCAGACAGCATCCTGAGCACCTCCCACTTTCCCTTCGGTTCTCTTCTCTACTGACTGCCGTGGTGTCCTCCATGTGCCTGGTGGGCTCTTCTTCACCCTCTCCTCCCCAGATGTTCTCTTTGTCTGCAAAGCCACATCTCCAGATATCTGCTTGGCTAACACCTCCCTCGCATTGATATCAGAAAATAATTTTCTCCATTCTGCTTATTCTGGTCACTCCAATACAGATTCCAACCTGCAGTTCACTTACTTCCTGGCCCAAGCTTTCCATCCTGTTACCACAATTGGTACAGCTTTTTCTTTTTCCTTCTTTCTCTTTAAATTACATTTTTTAAATTTATTTTGAGTGTGTGTCTGAACACAGGTAGGTGCTCACACACAAGTCATGCAATGTGGATGGAGCTCAGAAGACAACTTTCTATAATCGGTTCTCTTCTTCCACCATTTGGGTCCTGGACATCAAATTTAGGTCATCAGACTTGGTGAAGGCATCTTGCTGGCGCCTTTTCTGTGTTCAGTTCCAGCATCCCTCACTGTCAACTGTACTCACTGTGCAGCTTGCCAGACTATCGCTGAGAATTTGTCACCTGCCACCTTCCACTTCCTGTTTGGGGACTGAATGCTTAGGAATTTCTTTCTTCCAGTTTTTTTTTATTAACATTTAAATTAGCCTGCTGAAAAATTCACATATTTTAAAGCATGAGCTTGTTTTCTTTCACAAGCACACTGATTTGCTTAAAGCTCTGTGATTGCTTCTATGTAGCAACAAGCAGATATTTTTAACAAGTAACAATACTTTAACAAAAAGCCAAACGCATAGCTCTCTTTCTGTAGGCCGAGTGGAAGCTTTCCTGAAATATTTTCTTTTTTGTTTTTGTTTGTTACAGGGATAATTTTTACTTTATTTTTAACTGAAAATAATGTTTGTGCAATATGTTCTGATCATGGTTTCCCCTTCCCCAACTCCTCCCAGCTCCTCCCTATCCACAAAACTCCATACCTTCTTTCTCTCTCTCTTTAGAAAACAATCAGGAAAACGACAAAAGCAAACAAAACAAAATTCTTTTAAAGTAACAGAGAAAACACAAGAAAAACACACACACACACACACACACACACACACACACACACACACACACACATGAACCCATAAAAACACATAATATACAAGCAAAAGATCAGTAAGACAAAAAAACTCCCGATAAAGTGATATGAAACAAAAAGTCTACAAAAATACCCTTGAGTTCATTTTGTATTGCCATCTACTGCTGGGCATGGGGCCTGCCCTGTGTGGCTAATGTCCCCAGTGAGACTCCATTGGAGAGAACTGATTTTTCCTTTGCAAATGGGTGTCAATTGGTGATAGCTTCTCAGTTAGTAATGGAGTCTGTGTCCACTTCCCCTCCCTGCACTGGGACCCTGGCTGCCTTGAACCTGTGCAGGTCCCCAACCTGGGGATTTCTATCTGCTTGCTGATGTGTCCCAACAACTAGAGCGGTGCCTTTCTCAGAGAAGACATGGGGTAAGCGTATGGGACTCAAGGGGATGCGCCTGTCAGCATCCCCACTAGACTAAGACTCAAGGGGCAATCTTTTTCCCCTATGTGCTGCTGCCTCAGTCTGTCTGTCTGCGGCTACTGCTGCCTCACCCTCTGGCAACGACAGCTTCTGGGAACCTATTGAGGCCACCTGCCTTTGTTTCCCACCACAGACACTTACTTTCAAGAAATAGGAATTTATTTGGTATTTTGGCTTTGTTCTGGGCCCTCAAGTTATTTCTTGATGTGTTAAATTGTGAACATATTGTGGTGGTTTATGAAACCCTTAGGAGAATGATATGATGCTCATAGCTGGGCCAATGTGGGAGACTTTTCTGTTTCTGGACAGTTGTCAGACCAGAACATCTGGAGAGAGTCATAGACCCCTCATGTCTGGTCTTGGTGATGTGAACAGCAAACAGCTCAGGCCTTTCAAGACATTAGATACAGAACAAAGACAGACCAGACTTCACTCTGGGATGTTGATCTCCCATCAGCTCAGAAAGGTCATATTATAAACAGAGGCTCTTAAATATACTCCCACTATTGGTCACACACACATACCCCAAATATCCCAATGGCATATAGCAACCAAATTCCAACACAGGAAAGTATAACTCAGATGCCTCCAAACTTTGAATTAAATAACATTATATATTATTATAGTGTGTGTGTGTGTGTGTGTGTGTGTGTGTGTGTGTGTGTGTTGTACATTGGCACATACATGTAACAGAGTGCATAAAGAAGTTACTTTGTAGAGTCAGTTCTCTTTTTTCCACCTTTGTGTGGGTTCTGGGGACTGAATCTAGCTCATAATATTTATGCAGTAAGTACTTTTACCAGTTGAGCAACCTCTGCAGCATGACCTCCAAACTTTAGACATGCAATACTGAATGGCTCACAGAACAAAAACAAACAAACACAATAAAAATCTAGAGACATCAAATTCCAGCCCACAGGTATTTTTGCCCACATGAATTTTTGAAAATTCCTAACTTATGGTTCAGGTACTCACATAGTTCAAAGATCTCATACCCTTGTCTCAGAAGCCCATAAAATCATAGTCCACACATTGGGAGATAGACACATGAAATAACCAAAAGGACAGATCCCAGGGACGAGGATTACTCCTGCTGCAAATATCTCAAAGACCTCAGGGTATGGTGGACAAATTCCTTTGAAGCCCAAAGTTTTTACGGTTTTTGCTTGTTTGTTTATTTGTTTTTGGGGTGGGGTGGGGGGACATTATTGACAGGGTTTCTCTGTGTAACCCTGGCTATCATGAAATTCCTTCAGTAAGCCAAACTGGCCTTAAAGCTACAGATGTTCACCTGCCTCTGTCTCTTGGGTGCTGTCATTAAAGGCATGCACCACTACTTCTTGGCTAAGTCCAAAGTTTTTAATGCAAGATATAATGGAACCCTCTGCCTCACACTATAACCAGGTCATGGAGGTCACATGTAGGATACAGAATCCCCCAGTCATCAAATGCCTGTGATCTCGTGTCCTTCACAAAACCCTTCAAGGTTGCTTGAAAGCTAATTCTTGAGATGCACAATCACAAAAGTGTGATAATGTGTGCACTTCTAGACAAAGTCCATAATACAGATCATATGTTTTCTCTATTAGAATAGAAACTCTTAAACACCCCAGAAATCTCTCACTCTGAGCACAAGTTCTCTATTCCTTAAAAACCTCACAGCTGAGTCCCAGGACCCCAGACACCTCAAGCCTCTAACAATCTGCAGCAAGGACCTCCAAATGTGTCCAAGATGTCTATACACAGACCATGAAAGAAGTCAGACTTGATTCCCTAGAGACACACACAGTGAGATATCTGCCAGATAGAGAGCCACAGTGAGGTACTACCAGTCTCCTGAATAGGACATAGAGCAAGACTAAGTGATGCAGAGGCAGAGGAAGGGACGAATGAGAATTAGGGAGAACATCCAGGAAACCTGCTGTTTCCACTGAGTTAGGCTCAACCTCAGTCACTTGGATAATTTCCTGTTCTCTCCAAGAACTTGAGACATCCACATGTGTATATCTACATATCCACAAAATATACACACAAGAAGTAAGTGGGTGTCTTATAAAAAAGAAAGCACTTAATTGGGGGCTTGCTTACAGTTTTGGAGGGTTATTCTATGATCATCATGGTGGCAAGCAGACAGATATGTATGGTACTGGAGCAATATCTGAGAGCTTACATCTTATCCACAGGCAGGCACAAGGCAGAGAGAGAGCTAACTGGAATGACACGGGCTTTCGAAATCTCATAGCCCACCTCCAGGGACACACATTCTCCAACAAGGCCACACTGCCCAATCCTTCCCAAACAGTTACACCAAATGGGTAGCCAAGCATTCAAACACATGAGCCTATGGAGGGCATTCTCATTCAAACCACCATAGAGGGCTAAATTACTACCAAAATAGACTTCAGAATGATAATTAATATAAGTGGTAATGATGATCCATTCATCAAAAACAAAGTTATGAGCTGGTGGCACACACCTTTACTCCTAGCACTTGGAAGGCAGAGGCAGAAGGATTTCTGAGTTCAAAGTCATCCTGGTCTACTGAGCGAGTTCCAGGATAGCCAGGACTGCACAAAGAAACCCTGTCTCCAAAAAAACCTTATATTATTTATAGAAAAATGAATCCAACTGGACATAGTTGTATTAAGTGAATTAAGCAAGTCTCAGATAAACATTGTGTTCTTTCTCTCATTTGTGGATTAAAGATTTTATATAGACATGTAAAATCATGTATACATCTGTGACATAGAAGTCAAACTGTCTAGGG